GGGGGGGGGGAGATTTTGTAGTTCTGAAAGAAGAAACGTGGAAAATTATGGTGCCCAAACAAAGTCTGTTGAAATATTTTTGTCAAAAATTAAGATTAAAATTCGCCAAATCTTCCTTAGAATTCTACTATTAAAAAATAAATTATTCAGCATCCCTAATAGAGATAGAAGACTTAGTTTGACATTAGTTACAGTGAAAAGGTATATGAATTGATTAAGGTTTTCAAATTTGGAAGAAAATTTTTTTGGAGATAATTTTGAACCATTAAATTGAATAAATCTTAATCACTCTTGTGTAGACAAACTTAAGGATTTACCACCGAGTGGTGTGGTCAAGTGGGGTACCGATCGAATTGTTTACTTAAAAAATTTGAGTTTTATAATCTATATTAGAATTTGGTAGTTAACCACTACACTAGTCTATCTAGGTTCATTGCTGAGAGGAGTAATGAACGCGGTCAGAAGCCTCATGATTCTACTGGTGAAAACCTATCGAGGTAATTTGTGGACGCTCTCTTTTACCTCCACCATTTTTTTTATAGAGCAAAAAAAAAACTGAAAAATTTAAAGTTAGTTTTATCTTATTTGTATAAATTGCAAGTGTATTACAATATTTAAGTTGCCGATAAAGGAAACAATTGCGAACTACCACAGTACACAATATTTTAAAAACTTATTAAAAGTTCAATAATTCGAGTCTTGCAATGAACAAAGGTTCTATGAAAGAACGAAGATATAATTTTTATGAGGTCGAAAATAAGAATATCACTTGATATGAAAAATGGACAGAAAATTTTGATGGTAATTTTAGTATTTGCAATAAATCTAAAAAATATCTAAAAATATCAAATTTAAATGTTTATATCTTTCATTTTCAATAAAACAAAAAACATAAAGTGTCACATCGGTGACTGAAAAACATTTTGTGATATTTGTGTGTTTTTACAGCAATTCTCTAAAAATTATAACTATGAGTTTGCATCGTGGGTTAAATAACCAAATCCACGCGCCCCACGCGCCGATCACGGGTGTCACCGTCCCCATGAGGTGGTCCATAGTCCAAACACCGTCCCAAACTTTATCCTCAGAAACCCACTCACTATCGGACTAATAAATGCAATCTCTCTCTCTCTCACTCTCTCTCACACACACACACACAAATAAGAAAAATTTCATTCACACCCTTTCTAGTTTATAATATATCAAAGAATACTTTTTCTATTTTTTGAAACTTCGTGGACACCCAATATCAGATTGATAGAGTTAACTAAAATGTAATTTTATTAAATTATCCATGATATATTTTAAAAAAAATTTCATTTACACTCTTCTAGATAAACATCTTCAATTAGATCCCCTTTATTTTCTAAATTTTTTTACATATTAAAATTCAGGTCGATTAAAATTCGATTCGAGTTTAATTAGAACTTATTTTTTACGTATTAAAAATTGAATCAATTAAAAATTATATATTTTTTTTACATATTAAAATTTAAGCCGATTAAAATTCGATTCAAGTCAATTATAAATTTTAATCAACTCAAATTTTAATGCGTAAAGAATAAATTTTAATCAGCTTGAATAAGATTTTAATTGACACGAATTTTAATAAGTAAAAAATAAAAATTTTAATTGACTTGAATCGAATTTTAATTGGCACTATCAACTTAGGTTGAGTTCAAATTGGCACTAATTTTAATATGTAAAAGAAAATTTTTAATAGACTCAAATTTTAATACGTAAAAAAAATAAATTTTAATCGGTTTAAATTTTAATATTTAAAAAAATAAATTTTAATAATTTCGAATTTTAATGTATAAAAAAATAAATTTTAATTGGTTCGAATTTTATGTAAAAATATTATTTAGATTTTATGTAAGGATAATTTTCATATTTTAGATGAATCATTCACACAAGAATTAGGGATAAATTCTAAGAGACCCGACTCTAAGGGACTTATTGAGTTTTAATTGAATTTATAACTCATTCTTATTTTCAGCAGATTATTTTTTTGGGATTACAAAATACATTATTATAAGATTAGATAATAATCTCTTAAAATTCTAAATTTTAACTCAAAAATTCATAAAGAAGTCATAAATTATTGTGATAAATTAAAAAAATATAATGTCTAAAAGTAAAACTATAATCGGCTGAGGCTGCATTGAAAGAAAATAAAAGTCATTTCCTATATTAATAAGACACACTTTTCTATCTTCCAACCAAAAAATGCAAAATGTTTAATCCGCAAAGATATCAGAGGCAGCTGTTACAAAGAGCTAATGACTAATGAGTAAGAATCATGTGATTTGTGCATACCTCACTCTCTCTCTCTCTCGGATATTAACAGAACTTGTCTAACCCTCCCTGATCTCACCCACCCCACAAGTTTGTTTCTTTGGGTTTTGTTCTTTCTTAGCTGCTTCGTTTTACATGTTCAATGGCCTCAAGTGCTTCAAGGTTCATCAAATGTGTCACCGTTGGTGATGGGGCTGTGGGGAAGACTTGTATGCTTATTTGCTATACCAGTAATAAATTCCCTACTGTAAGTTTGCTACCTTCTTCCAAAAGGTCCATCTGGGTTACTCAGATTTGTATTTTTTTTTTGTGCGTCTATGGTAAATATATATGTATGTAATGTATTTTGATGTCTGTGGTTGATACATGGTTAATTGATTATCTATTATGGGTTTACTCTGCTGTTTTATATGCATATGCTTCTGGGTTTTGCAGCTTTTCTGTTTTTCATGATTTCATATCTCTCATATCTCAAAGCTCTGTGTGCGTGAGTGCGTGCGTTCGTGTGTGTGTCTGTGTGTGCGTGCGTTCGCGCGTGTGTGTGGGTGTATGTGTGTGTGTGTCTCTATGACATTTCTTTCTGGATTTTGATTTATTTTTTGGGACTTTGTAGTTTGTGCAATACCCTTGTGAAATGCTAATCTGTTCACTCGTTTGGTTCATCCAAAAACTTGTTTTTTAATTTTATTTCAAAAACTTAGTTGGGACGAAGGGTTTGTTGAGGTAAGTATTGTTTGTTTGTTGATCAGGACTACATACCAACTGTGTTTGATAACTTTAGTGCAAATGTGGTAGTTGAAGGCATCACTGTCAACTTGGGCCTGTGGGATACTGCTGGTAAGGTTTTACTCTATTAGAATCAGTTAGATAATTTTTACTATACATTTCTATCATTTTCTAAATTAAGCATTTTCTCACTGGGGGATGGGGGGAAATTTCTACCAGCGGTCTCAAGTCAATTCTTGAGGCAGCAGGGGTTAGGGAAGCCTGCCTGATGGCAGTAACTTTGAACATGGAGGAGGCAATCATTGAGAGTGACAATTTGGAAATAATCCATCTAAGTGCAACAGAGGATGGGCCTCCATGGATATATCGGTGTTTATTGAGGATATACGAGAAATTGCATCCCGAATGAGCCTAAAGTCTCCCATACTCCTAGGACAGCAAATAGGTCAGGGCACTGGGTAGCTGCAGCATTTCTAAGAAACTCCCCTTGTGGTGATTGGATATCTAGTCCTCCAAGAGAGCTCTGTTTGCTTCTCAATGCGGACTGTACTTCAGCTTTTAATATATAAATGAATTTCATTCCTGCTAAAAATAAATAAATAAATAAGCATTGAAAAAATTTAATCCTAACTGGTCCCAATGCAGATCACTTTGCTAAATTGGGCAATTTTATTTCATTTTTGTTTATTTTGTATTCCCATTTCATAGGACAAGAGGATTACAATAGATTAAGGCCCTTGAGCTACCGAGGGGGAGACGTGTTTGTCTTGGCTTTCTCCTTAGTTAGTCGTGCAAGCTATGAGAACATACTTAAAAAGGTACCTTCAACTGAAAGCTGTGTATTGATGTCTGTTGTTTGAGATGTGATTTTCATTATTTAGTGCAATTTCTGATAGACATTTGGTTGGTCAGTGGATCCCCGAGTTGCAGCATTTTGCCCCTGGAGTCCCAGTTGTACTGGTTGGCACCAAATTGGGTAAGTTAAGAAGTTAAAGCATTTTTCATGAGAGTGCTATTTTCAGTTGTTGTCTGTTATAACTGTCTAGTTTTGGTGCTCGCTCTTAATGCATGTTGATCTGCTTAAAGCCTTAAAACCATCTAATGGAGCCTTTCTACTTTTGGTCACTCTCTGTTCAAATTTCTTAAGTTTTCTCGCTTTACAAATATTTTACAGAGATTGAAGCTCAAATTGTACCCACCATGGGTGTGTATTAAGAATCTAAGTTCTGACTGCTTATCGATACACCATAATACCATTGCTAATTAATTACCCAGTAAGAGATGTACACTGATATAAATTAACTCTGTGCATGCTTGTTTTGTTGACCTGTTAGCAATGTAAGATGATGAAAATATGGAGTCCCTTAGAAGGCGACATACTTAATTTTTGCATAGAATTAGAATGCCAATTTGAAGTAATTAATACCCAGAATGTTTATCAGAAAATTTACAGATAGATTACTTGAACAATCCTCAAAGAGTGGAAACATTCTTGCTGTTCATGAATGTTCAATTATTCCATTGCAAGTTTATACTAGGTAGTATTTTTTTCTGTAAGTTTTTACATCTGCAGAAGTAACTTTTGTGAAACTCCTGTCCCTTCAATAGTCTTGAAGTTTGCAGGACGAATCATCATTCATGGATGGTTCACTTGCACAGATGCTATACCAATGGTTATAACGTTTCCTTTTGCAAATCTACCATCTTCCTCTAAAAGTGTCTGCTGTGTAAGGCATTATACAGGGAAGAGTTACTATAAATATCTAAAACTAATCTTTGCATTTTGGAATTAGTTTCTTAGTATAATACGTGTCTCCTAGAATACCTAATTTTCGGGTTCTTTTCCATATTTCTTCCTTTAGTTTTCTTCATTTTTTGCCCATGTTTGAGTTGACTTTCCCAGTGTCTCCATTGCCTAGGAATTTAGTGGCATGGCGACTCGGAACTACATTGGGGAAATAAAATAGATCAATTAATGAATATATAGTGGGTTGAATTTTCAGTGCAAAAAGACAATACTCGACGTATAATATTTTTGAAAATGTACAACACCTCACATTCATATAGGAAGGAGCACAATAGCAATGAAATGGTAATTACTTGGAGGCATACATATTGCACTGTTCATGCTCATAAATGAAATTGTTGCTTCCAAAAATTTTAAGGGGGAATGCAGGTAAATAGTTAAAAATTCTTATAGACTTGTCCTTATATATTTAAACTCTACTTCTAAGATATGACAAGTTTTCATCATTACCACAAGATGTAAAAGTTTTGCAAACACATGAAAAAACATGTAGCAAAGTTATACGCATCCATGTTCTCCGAATAAGAAGTGTAAAAAGTACCACTTTTCAAAGGAGAAACAATTTTGAGTCGACCAAAAATGTCAACTATCTCTAGCATATGAGAGCGAGGCAGTTTGACAGCGGCATTCATGTTGTCACCGATGATAATTATGAGATTTATTGGTTTTAAGTTACATAAATGATGCATCAGATGTTGATGCTGATTTCTGACTCATTCTACTAACCCCCTTAATACTTAACAGGTCTTTCCGTTTAGTCATAGTCCATCATTGACCACTTTCCAAGTGCTGTATGAAATCAAAGATCTTCCCTTTTATGAATTGAAAGAATAAGATCCCTTGTGTCCTAAACTAGTTTATTTTATTGTAGAGTTGATTGAACCCAACCACATATTACCAGTGATACTTTCTGTGTAGACATGTTTATTCCTGTGAAGTAAGTTACCAAAAGTACAAGAAATACCTAATCCATATGAAAAATTTCTACTGCTCCTCATTATGGTAACCCTTGTATGGTAATTTTAACTACTGCTACTAATGCATTGTTTATAAATGGGCAATAGACCTTCGCGAGGATAAGCACTATTTGGCTGATCATCCTGGATTAGTGACTGTGACAACTGCACAGGTGTCTTTTTGGTCATTAGCTGCTCCTTGCTCTTTGGCTAATAGTTTAACCTTAGAAATCAATAATAATGGTTTTCTATTATCAGGGTGAGGAGCTCCGCAAACAGATTGGTGCTGCCTATTATATTGAATGCAGCTCTAAAACTCAGCAGGTACTGAGAAATTAGCATTTATTTCAATTTCCAAGTATTTTCTCAGTCTTGTTAATAGCTTCAAGTTTTAAAATGCCCATGAAACAGCATCCCTCATATTCCCCAAACAAAATGTAACGTCTAAAATGCTGCTGCTGTCTTCTTCTTTTGTGGGCAAGCGGGCCATGAAAGATGAACAACTTATGAGCGTTATTTGGATGATATCAGGCGTCATTCGTAGCAAGTGACTCTGCTAACCTTAGGGGTGAATCACCTTCCCACCATTTACACCTGGAAGTGTTCTTAAATTTCAGTTAGGGGACTAGCTAATGAAGGAGGTGAGACCAAGAAATCAAGTATTTTGACAGAAATTGTGTTTCATGAAAATTTACATAGAAGATCAACTGCAAGAAAGATATACTCTTCACTGATGATTGATACAGCTATTGTCCATCTACATAAGTTGTCCAAGTTTCATTTTGATTGTTGCTATGATATACGGTTATGATGCTGGTCTACTGGATTCAACCACACAAAAAAAAATTAGTTGGCTTTCATTCCAAAATACTTGGCTGAACATATCAATATTAGTTGATGCTGGTGTTTCTTTTAATGGAAGTTCACCCAAAGGTTTATGCTGCTTGACATCCTAGGTTAGTCTTAAAACAGAATCAGATTTATAGATTGTAAAGTCTTTCAGCTGCCTGGTATTCTTGCTTAGGCAACAAGGGCCCCACTATGCCATTCCACCCATTTTCAGGGCGGGGTCTCTATTGTTTTCCAGGACGTGTAACTGCAATATTTTCTGCATGATTTATGTGAATGATTTGATTTTTCTATGCAATTACAGAATGTGAAAGCAGTTTTTGATGCTGCAATCAAGGTAGTCATCAAGCCACCACAAAAACAAAAGGAGAAGAAAAAGCCACGTCAAGGATGTCTAGTGTCAGTAACTTCATTCTTAAATCCGGTTTCCTGCTTAATTTAATTTGACTTGTCTATTATGTGGTTGTTTATCAAAGTAACTTATATATTAAATAAGCTTAGTTCTACCACTAACCAATGGTATGTTTATGTATACATATAAAGAGTAGGGTCTCCATTTAGCTGTAAAGAAATCCCCATTTTAGGGGCTAGTGGGAGTAGGCTTTAGCAGGGATCTGTGGTTTAGCTTCAAATTAGTCTATTCTGTTGTGGAGCAGTGAAATTGACTGTACTTTTAAAAAGTGAAACGAAGATCACTAAACAAAAACCATAAGCATGTAAATGATGGAACATATGGATGCCCTTTAAAATCTAAATCAGATCACTCTGCAAAACATGGGGTTCGAGATGGCTTCATTGTCTTGTAGTAGAATTTCATTGAAGTTGTTAATCAACCATCTACTCTAAAAGGTTAAGCGACCTCCTGGTCTGATATCATGTTACACAACTATCTACTCCAAAAGGTTAAGCAGTTGGAGATTTTTAACTTAAGTATTTATACTTCAACATATGTATTATTCCCTTGCTTCTCCTTAAACAACTTACTTGAATGGAGGCTTTTGAGATTTCAACAATTGACTTTGCTGTGGTTACTTTCTCCATGTCACCACCATCTTGTTTATTGACATGCTGACTACAATATCGTGGACCCTTTCAGTCTTTTATGAGGTGTAAGCACATGCTTTAATGATTTTATACGATCTTGACAGAAATGGTTGCTGAAGTTCCTTGAGGAACAAAACTCACTTTGGCAATTAATTGTCATATTCATACAGTTCAGGATGTTTGATCTATGTCCTTAGAGCCATATCTCCGGTGGATGAATAGATCTTTCCTCATTCTAGATACCTTGTTTGACTCTTTTTTTTGACTTAGATATGTACTTATGTTACAACCCACTCTATCAGCTTAAGCTTTTAGAGTAGATAGTTGTTTAACATGGTCTCGGAGCCTAGAGGTCTTGAGTTTAAATATGTTGGTCTCCTATCTTACATGCATTAGATAAATATTATTCATGTTATGCCCCTCTATCAACTTAATCTTTTAAAGTAAATGGTAGTTTAACAGTTTGAAAGATTTAAAATTCGCTTTGGGAAGATCTGTGGTGGCAGTCATGAGAATTTTAAGATTTCTCTCCTGTAATCATTTTAGAGTTCCCTGAGGCACCTACTGTTGAATCTGTAGTTCATTTCAGTCTTGTGCCCTTGTGGAACTTCATCTTTTCTTTTATTTTTTTAATAGAACCTGCTTGCCTCTGTTCTCAATGATGTGCATTTTTCCTTGTCAACCCTGGGCTCTAGGTGCTAGCATCTGGAAAGTAATAGTAACCTCCAAAATTTAAGGCTTTCGCCTGGTCAGTGGCCGTCATGAAAGTCAATACAATGAACCTTACACGCATGTTTGTTGTGTTTATGCAAAAGCATTGTTGGCGAAGGCTGTTGCTATACTGGGGCTTTTTTGGGTTACATATTCTATCACCTAGGACTGAAGTTAGGTGGTATTTGCTGGGGTGAATAATATAATTTGCCAACATTAGGACTGCTATCAGCTTTGTCGCCTTTTTTCTCAGTTGTCACCTTTTTGCATTGTCAGTTTGCTGACCATAATTATCCTCTAGATCTGTCCCAGATCTTGCTAGCATTCCTGCCAGGCACACACACACACACACACACACACACACACACACACATATATATATCTTGGTATGAGTGACTAAAAAGAGTGTCAAAGATAATCTGTTACTTGAATCAGTCTTGACCCAGAAAAAAGATGGCTTTCTTACTGTTATTTGAACAGTTATGTTTTCCTTAAATAAGTGCCTGTGATTAGTGTTTCCATTTGTGGACGGTTTACTTTTGTTTCGTGGTTGGATGTCAACAACGAGAGAGGATGGGGGGGAGCAGAAATGTGGAATTGGGATTTTGAGGTCGATGGGTGCTGTAGTTTGTTGGTCACAGCTATCAAACACGAATTTTCTATTATTTCTACTATGTTGTTTTGATGTATTTTATCTTTGTAATTATCCCATGCATTACTGTCTTCTGTGATTACATATTTACATGAGTTAACTAATTTTCTCTCTCCAATTGCAGAAATGTTTTTTGTGGAAGGAGGCTTGTGTGTTTGGAATAATCTACATCCAGCTATACCTTTATAGCGTTTTTTAGGCATACTAACATGATGCTCAGATGCTCACCACTCAGCAAATTGTCAGGATTCTGCCATTACATAGTCTAGTTGCTGTTGTCTTCAACAGAACAGCATATTGGTCCCTCTTAAAGTCACTTTGTGTCTCTCTTTCGCTCTCCATTTTCAAATTGTATGTTTAATGATTGAAAAGTGAACACCACCGAGTACATTTATTGTAGAGAATTAAAGTTCAATGCTTTTTATTTTTTTGTTCAGAAAATGGATATGTAAATAGGCCACTCTACATATTTGTCAGGAAGTATTGTCTCTCAGCACTACACAACTATCTGTAAGAGATCCTACCGCACTTACGTTGAAAATGTAGTTGAAGAATAGGTTTAATTTCACTTAATTGTAATAGCTGTGAAAGTTCGAGCCTAAGAATTGAGTAAGAAAATTCGAATTTTTATCCACCGGATTAACCATTAGGTGGTAAAGTTTGTGGCTTTGTTACAAGTAAAGAAACCATAGTGCAACAAATTGATGATAGTATGATGAATCATATTTGTTTCGAGTTTTGCTTTTAAAGCAAGACAGCATTGAAGCCCACGTATATTTTTCTTAACAATAAATCACCTATCACATAAGAACTCGTTACAAATGAGTAAATTTTTCGTCAATACAAGATGAGAAATTTACCATTAGAAAATAAAGAAAAATGTAATAGTGGAGATTGAATCCCCTTTGCAACAGCCTTGGGTTTGCTTTCTCTTCTTTAGGGGTCTAGTCATTTGAAGCTGTCATGTCTTACAGGCCGCAATAGCCTTCCTCGAGGCACCTGAGGCGGCCCATCGGAATTCTATTAATTTTTTTTTTTGATCGAGAAAATCCTATTAATTAGATATTAATTTGCATTTTTTTATTTTTAATCTAATCTGAATCCATTATATTTAATTCAATAGATCGGAATTTAGATATATAAATATGCGATCTTATTGTGATTTGATCTAAATTAAATGTATGTATGCACTAAAATTTAAATAGGATTCACTAAAATTTCACCCTAATTTGTTGGGAAACAGTCGGATTTCTAATTTTCCATCAATTAAACAAACATAGATACTGTCGTTCAACAAAACCTTATCCCAACATTTTTTGGAACATTCTCCCTTGATGTTGGCACTGTATAAGAATGAATAGCTTATCAAAACGGGCATAACCGTCACAATTCAACAGATATAGAGACGGATGATAAAATTGAAATCCATCGGATACTCAAATTGGACCCGAATTAGAGTTTTTGAATTGAATTTAGACCAGTCAGAATCTGATTCATTGATAAGCTCTCAGTGGGAACACAACGTATTGAAACCACGCAACGAAGGTACTATCATGATTAATCCATTGAACATTATGCATACTGTATGAGAAAAAGACCAAGCCATGCCAAAAGCAGACCCATTGACAGGCTAAAAAAAATTGCTTAATGTACTCATCAACCTGAACAATAACTTCCAGAAAAAAATAAATTGTGCACAACTAAAATCCAGGAAAATTACCCCATGTTAAGGAAAGGGAGAGAAAAGCTGGAAGAAAGAAGAGGGGTGGGGGGTTAATTACATCATATTGTATCCAAAAGATGGTGCTAAATATGCAATTTTGATCGCGTGTACGGGCGTTTTTATCAGGATGTACACAGACATCTTAATTCCAGCACTGATTGCAACTTGGCCAGAAGTTCAAATAGCAGTAAAGTAGACTACTACAAGTAGGGTTAGAAAGTAAGACCAAAATAGGATACAACAGCCATGCCAACTAAATCATATCAGATCAAGAAAAGCTTTAGTTACCAAAATTCAGTGGCCACCCTGCTTTATATTTATGTAACAGGAAGTAAAAAGGAAAGAAGAGGAGGAGGAGGGCGACTAAAAGAACTAAAAGACAGCATTAAAAGATAAATTAACAGAAACACACATACATAAGAGCTGCCAGTTGAAGCAGTTCAGAGACCCAACTGCCATTACGTGGATAATTGAACAAAGGATGGTGCTCGGTCCCATGATGTGTAAGTGATGCACTGTGCCAGTATGGGCACCACTCTCGAGTGTCGGGGCATCTGCAGAGTGCATGCTTTCTGATGGTTAAGTATCTACAAAGGGGAAACTGATCTGCATCCACCCAGAAATGATTCCAAGGCCAAGGACTGAAGTGCTTGCAAACCCCAGGACCAATTCTTTTATGATGCAATTGATACAGTGAGGTGGTGGGGGTCGGAGACTATGAACACATCTAATTACTCACTTACCACCCATCCTTCAAGAAGCACACAAGTTAGACGACAACTTCCAGGAGTTAGCCAATGCCTACCTTCAAAGAACTACACAAAAGAAAGGGAAAAATGTAAAAAATTATACAATGAGACTAGTAAGGCACAACAGACACACCCTGGCCACCCAAAACAACCACAACCTAACGAAGAAGAGAGGGGAAGAAGTAAGTGAAAATAAATAAATGAATAAAAAGACGAACCAAACTAAAGCAGTAAACATCAGAATATCTTCGCAAGGTTAGAAAACAGCACAAAGGGAATACATGAAAACCTTATAGTAGCTATGAAAACACTTTGAGGGCGGTAAAGAGTTCTTTTTGTCACTGAGAGAGGAAAGAGAAAATGATACAGAGATACTGAATATTTCCTTACTTCAGCCAAAGATTCCGACCTTGACAGTAGGAAAAAGACCAAGAGTACCCAAAAGAGAGACACTAAACAGGTGTGTCTTGCATCGTTTCAGCAAGTTCATTCACTTCCTGTTTGCTTCATCCAAGAAAATGAATTCAAAAGCAAGAGAAACAGCAAATTCGAAAAATAAATAAATAAAATGTGCCCATTTTTCTCCTTTCCAACGTTCGACTAGAAAACATGAAACCAATAAAGAACAATGCACTCAGAGTATCTACCTGCCATTCAATTTCAAAAAAATAACTCTTTCCACATTGCATTTCAAAACCATAACCACAAAGGCCTCAACATCCCCTTCTTAACCAAAACCACAATCACACTATATTTCTAGCACTAGCTATCATATCATCCAAAAATGTAATCTGTTAGCCTAAATCAACCTTGACGTATCAAGAATAAGATCCAACATTAACAAGTACAGAACCAGAACACAGACACTTTGACATGCAAAAATCCTGAAAAACATTAGGACATGCACACAGCAAGGATGCCAAAGTGAATCAATATATTCTCCAGATGGTCTATTATATTTTATGCAATATTTATTCAATATATAAATGGTAAATTCTATTACATTATATGCAATTATTTAAGCCATATCTATACTTGAAAGTTATAGCTTAACGATACCAATAGCAAATATTCATCCATGTCTAGACAAAGCATGGCAAACATGTGTATACACATATGCAAGAAAATTAATTGTCTTTCACAAGCCTTTACTTTTGTCCTCTCATGCTCACTCTTCTGATTAATACTTCATTTTAAACTTTTGAATTCAGTCAAACTTCCCACTAGTTTTTGCATAGACCTGAGTTGATTGCTTTTAACAATTACTCATTCTGATTCATCATTATTAGCTCACAAGTTGGTAAGCATCCAAGAAGTGTGAAATGTGTCCAGTATTAGGAAATGTAGTTTTGAACTATAGGAATGGCAAAGATGTGTAACGTGTCCAAGAAGTATCAGTATCTCTCTGCACCAATGTGCCACCTTCTTGGAAGTGTCAGGAGTGTCCATGCTTCTTAGAAAACAATCAAAGGCAACACAACTATTGCACAGAAGATTGGACAACATTTGCAAATAGCACTTACCAAGCTTTAAGAAGTTGCCAGCATGTAGTATTATAAATCCCTACTGCTATGAGGATGCCTGTACCTAAAGCTCTCAGTATCCCATCCTCCAACAGGCTCCTTCCTCTTCAAAACACCACCTGCCACCTGGTACATTCTTGCTTGCTCCTCCACTAAAGCCTGTGAACTGGCAACAGAAAGTTGCCTTGACACCAAAGGCAATGTCTCATCTCTCCGTTCTATATCCAGACCACCAGGGCCTGGGCCTGCATTAAGATCTAAACCCTGCCTAACCCATTTTCTATTGTTCACCAAAACATCATTATCGCCACCATCGAGAAGGCTAACGACATAAGGCCTTTGACAGTTGGTTGAAACTGCACCAGTAGCTCCAAGTAACTGTGAATGCACGGCAGGAAAACCAGGCCTTCCACCGGATGACGAGTCCATATTTGTCGTTGATCCACCCGAGAAAGTGCCTGAGGACAGAGGAAAACTTGTCCCAAAAGGAAAAACAGGATACTGGAACGGCATAGAGGGAAAGGGCAATGCAGGAGATGATGACAACAAGGATCCCCGGTAGACATCAGGTGTAAAAGGGGTACTACCAGTAGGACCCAATAATCTTTGTGGCGCACCAGGTGCAACAACTGGAAAAAGATGCTCCCCTCTATCAGGGAGGACAGACGGAATTGTGACACCCGGATAGTTCCCCGGTGGAAACCATGGTGAGAAGTTTCCTACATTTGGATTGTTCATTCTGAGGCCAGTAACATGAGCCTGGGATTGCATGCCGCCCCTACCATGCGGGTTAAATGATGATGGTTCCCAGCTCACATCATCAAGGACAGGCCCGTTGTTTAAATCAAAATCCCTCCTGAGTTCAACACTAGAAATCCCATAAGCAGATGATGATTTGACTGGTGGAAGCAGGGTCTCCACTCTATGAATGCTGCTTTTGGGATACTGCCCCACATCATTAACTTCATCAACTTGGTTCAAATCAAGACCAAATCCCCCTGAACTACGAATGGATACAGAATCCATCATTCCATTCTGAGCCAAATTGTGACTGTCTATAAGGTTAGACATTGAACCTGTCCCTGAAGCAGGCTCTCCAGAGGCCATATCCTCGTGAACTCTCTCATCGGGCACATTTAGATCAATATCCAACAGAGGACGACCATGTTTACTGGCAGTAGCATCGGTGAGAGGACTGTTAGCTGTACCAAGTGGCATCTCTAGAACCTTTCTGGGTTCAGCTGGCCGAAATGCACTTGTGGCGGCGGATCCCTTCCATCCAAGTTCCCCTTTACTCCTCAATAGATCCTCTGGAGGAACAAAGGGCCTTTTGGCAGCCGCAGCCACGGTTATAGAAGCAGGAAGACCACTGGAAACTGAAGAAACAGGGAAAGGCAATGGATTAATTACATGAAGAGCAGATGAACATCCATGGACCGTCAAATTGATTGGGTCCCCGTATTTTCCATCATCCACAACCAAGCCTTCATTCAAATCAAACTTCAGCTTTGAATCCATCTCTGGTACCCATGCAGCAGAGGAAGAAGCCCCACCTGTGGTGGATACACATTCCTCTGTTTCGTCTGCTTCAATGACAGCCAACTTGGATCCCCTCCACCCCACATGCTGCTTCGTTTCTTGGACATGTGATTCAGGTGACTTTTTAGAAGGTACTGCTGCACTACAATGGTGCCCATGAACCTCCTTACTTTCAACATTTGTCTCCATGCAGTTACTCTTCAGATCAGCTTGATTTTCAATAGTGGGAGGATTGTTGTTTTCCTGACCAATTCCTTGTCTACCAGACAGATTAACAGCCGTGCTGTTATCCATTTCATCAGCCTTCTCAACCTTAACTTGATAAACATCTTCTGAGGTCAAATCTTTACCAGAATGAGGATACATCACTTCCTCATCAGTTCTTGCCATGCACTCAGAATTCATCATCACTGCAGCTGGCTTCTTCTCCATGTGGAAACTGTCATTCAAACCCTCATTTGAATCATGTGTGTTCTTACCCACTTCAACGGCTAGTTTATCATCTTCTATGGTTGAAAGGACATCACTGACCTTATCCTCAGTTAACAAAGAACTGCTTCCCCTAGGATTAGTATCTGGAGTGCCATCAGTTGTTGTGCTGATGACAACTGCCTTTTCACCATGTAGTTGTTTGCTTATTTCGCCATTTATTACATTTTCTGAATTGCTGCCAGGGGGAACAGACACAGAAGCAGCACCATTCCTTTCACTCAATATTTCACTGGCCTCCAAGCATGCGTCAGCAGTTCGTTGCAAATCACAACTGGCAGTATGGAAGTGCTCATTGCGCTCTCCAGCTGGCATCCCTTCAGAAGAGGAACAAATGGGTTTTCCATCGCCAGAGAAGTTAATTGATGCCTGTTTAGATAAAGGTGGACAATCCTCAGACCACAAAGCACCCTGCTTATCTACATCACCATCACCATTGTCACTAAGCTGGCTTACATCTTGAGTGAAGTTATCTTGAGGCGATAATTTCGACTTGACATCATCACCTGTGCAAGTATCCTCAACTATAAGTGTATTTCTTTGCGGAGAATCAGTTGGTGATACCAAATCAGACTTTGACATTTCCCCAGCAGCCACACTAGCAAGCAGATTCATTCCAACATCATCACCAAGTGACATGGATTTAGCTGCCTCAGAATATTTGACACAGCTATCAATTAAAGCATTTATGGAGTTGAAAGAAGCGTCATCTAATTTTCCTGGCTTGGGGGCACTCCCATATGATGAGGAAGCTGCTTTCCTAATGTCTTCAACAATCCTACTGTGCTCTTGTTCAGGTATGGCGGCAGGTGATGCATCACCTTCATCAGATCCAGTAAGCACATCTTTAAAATCATTGCTTTGCCACGACTCAGTATTCACATCAGTCATGACATCAGCTTGGTACGCATCACTCTTTTCCTTTAAATTACTATCAAATTGATCATGCTTCTCTGCAAGCACAGGAGAAGAAGCTCGGCTATTCATGATGGAAGGGTCTTCAAAGGATCCCCCACTGGCACTTTGTGCAGGACACCGGGCCTGATTTGGGATCTTTACAATCAACTTGTGACTGTTTCCCTCTACAATGGGGCCAGCAAGTGCCTTTTCGCAAGTTAACCCAGACTGTGATAATTTTTCTGAAGCCGAATTTCGGTGAAGTGACAAACTTCTGCTTGACCCAGACTCTCTTTGACCTGCAGACATAGCTGGCCCGGGGAAGCCATTAATTGATTTTCGAGGTCGAGAAGCACCACTTGAGATCTTATTGCCACTCATTGACCCTGCAGTAGAGCTCCTTGCGTCGTCCTTTCCTGAGAAAGATTGGCTGTTGTTCGGAGACTGACTGGAGCTGCTGCTCTTCTCCTCCCTCACTGTTGTTAAAGGGACATCAGAGGTGCTACAAGCTGAAATTCTGGGCTGACCATCCTTACCTGATGCAGGAGACGGTGCCGATTTAGTTGTCCCCGGAGATGAGGATGCCGACTTTGCCACAGTTTCACCATGGACAGGTTTAACCACAGGAGTTTTAGATGCAGAAAGCTGTATAACTGAGCTCTTCAAGGTAATATCAGAGGACCCACTTGAATGTCCGATCCCACCATGGGAAACTTCAGGAAGACGTGATCTAGAAGGCCATGAAACAGCCTGAGTGGAGCCAGACTTTGCATCAATCATATTCATTTCAGCCTCAACCCGTTTCTTCCACGTGTCAACCAAGCTCTTTGCCTTCTTCTGAATCTCCAAGTTCTTAAGTGTACGTAAATGGTTCACAGATTTGCCAATGTTGCACATTTGTAGGGCATGAAGACTCACAGGCAGCTTATCAAGTGCACGAAGTAAAACCAAGAGAAACTCCTCTGCAGATTTATCACCATCTTTTGGGGCACCACTGTCACCAGTCTTCCCTTTATGCACATCTTGAAGCCATTCATCCAATATAGGCAGACCCCTAAGTTGCACAAACCGTGTAAGGCAGTCAAACTTATCTGTGGCTGCTAACACATCTGCAAGCATTGATCGGCTAAGCAGATCCATCTTCCTCTCAGCTCTATCAGATTGCATAAGTTGCACAAGTTTCTCAACCCCATCAGAATCAACAAGCCCTCCCTTTTCAGTTATTTTAGCAATCTCGGACTTCATAATACTTTCAGCTTTAAATGAACCAGAACCTCCACCATCTGTTTTGGAGGAACGTTCACGCTTGACAGACTCAGAGCCCTGATCTCCCCGCTCCCTTTTCTTTCCCTTAACATGAGAAGGATATGAAGTGGCACTAGTTTGTACGTTATCTGAACCAGGTTTCAACTGTGCACCATTTACCTGTTTTGGAGAATGGCCACCAGGCTGCACTGTTGCATGCATCTCTATTCGTGTTTTATATAAAAGCTGATCTACTTCTTCTTGTCGCTCCTATAAAAAAAAAATGTATGTTCATCAGACAATTTAAATAACAAACTATATAAAGATGAGCAGAGAGACAATATATTAAAGCACCCCAATACTCCCCAAGAAAGTAGTGCAATAGGGAAAAATGTGAGGTGACATGCAAACACAACTAACACTCACATTAATATAATCCTGATCAGTTAACCACCATAAACACTTGTTTGAAAAGTCATAAACTTGCCGACACACAAATGAAGATTTCCCTGGAGGAAGATCGACACCCTTAGGAAGGAATGAAACTCTACACGGATGGAGTAATGATGCAGCTGGAATCTCATCCTTGTGGAAGGAATAGAAGATTTCGTTAGGCGCAGCGTCCAACAGGATGCCTTTGCCGAGCTTCACTTCAACTGGCCGATAAAGCCAATTAATGCCTAGAAATGGATTATTCTCTTTATTCAAGGTCAGCCAACGAATTAGTCCAATGAAAGGTGGAGAACCCTGGGGCGATTTGAAAAGAGCACAGTCACCTACACTAATTTTACGATCATCCTGCAAAAGAAGCAAAACTTAACTTCTTGAAAAACTTCGTACAACAGATAGAGATGCAAAAAGCAAAAATCGACCTTCAACATGTAAACATGAAATTGACAGGCAAAAACAATAACAGGAAAAATACTTGACACATGGAAACGATTTTGCCAAAAGATAAACTCAGGTATCATTGATAAATCGACAAACATTATAATCATATCAAAAACAAGTATCAAGCTCAATGACTGACTATCAGGATCTACATTAAATAGTATCTGGAGATTAGGAAGAAATTCAATAAGCCTGGTTCGGATGGTGAAATTTGACCCACTAACATTGAGATTATGGGTTCGAAGCAGGGGGCATTCGCTTTATGCAAATAATACCAAAGGTCAGGTCTGCATCCATTCTATTCCTTCCAGACCCTATTAGTCGGAAATAAACGGGGTGTTATCTTATTGTTGTGTAAGATAAGTATAGCTGGACATGGGCTACGCTTTAAGCACCTTAATTAATCCATCAAATTAGAAGTACCACAAACTGGTGGTGACCAAGAAATCATATCCCACGGCAACAGGGATATACACTTGCAAACTTACTAAACATTGAACGCCTAACTACTTTTCCTCTGAAATATTTTAGTCAGTTGCATTCCATACTTCTTTCAAGATTAAGGGCCACAATTTGGACACTTCTAATTAAAATTTATTTATTTAAAATAACTAACAGGAAGTGTATATTTTTTTAAACCATTTAGGAATTGGGGTTATAACTGCATGGCTGAAGCAACTGATTAAAAATTCAGCATTGTGCTCAAAAGGACCTATAAGAAAGAGGGCATCCATGTAGTAACTAGTAACATGAGAATACACCGGAGCATCAGAACTTCAAGCATGAGAGACACAAACTAGGGCCCATCTGAATGCTACAAATTGCAGCGAAGCAGCAAAAAAAGTAGGGACCTTTCTATTCTTCAATCCCTACATATTTCCATCTACAGAGAAGCCAAGACTCCATTTGTTTAATGGTTGCCTTCCATTACTTATCACTTAAGAGAAAAAAAAAAAAAAAAAACATGTACCTTCTTTTAAACTAGGCGGCACACTTACTTGGCCTCACACACCAGTGTTCAGGTTGTACTAAAAAGCACACTTACTCTAGTTCCAAATTAGTCCACATAACATATGCATGTTAAGATGTATATATACATAAATGTTCATATATATCAGTATTTATTACATATTCATGCAAACATACAACCACCAAAAGGGAAGGAATATGATCATCAATGATGAAAACAATAATGACGTAATGACTTTGGAGTGTGCATACATAATGTGGTTGACTGTTTTGATTAAGGACAAAGAAAAAGAAACAAACAAAAATGGCGCACTTTCTCGGTAAAAAATTCACAGATTGGAGAGATTACTTCTTTCTGTTTCCCCCTCCCCTCCCTCTCTCTACTGTGTGGCACATACAGACAATATTTTTTGCTGAGAGATTCAAAAAGACGATCAAAGAGAAGGTAAATCCTTACCACTCCTCTATTCCCCCCCTCCCTCCTTCTCTAGTACTGTCTTATCCTTCATGCTATTTTAAACAAAATATTATATAGAAGATTGAGAAAAACCCAGTCTAGTTATTCCAGTCCCGGACACTATACATACTCACACGGTTCGCATTGATCTTATTTCAACTAAAACAAAAATCTTCAATAAATCATAACCTGAATCATACCAACCATTCCATGTCCAACCCGGAAGGAGAAGTAAGAAAAGATAACACTTTTCAATGGTCTCCTACCTATCTAGACTTAATATTTAAAGTTGATGCCAACTATTTTTAGAAAAAAAATTCTTTCAATTATAGCCATATTCAACTTATCTCTTATTGCTACAATAATATCACAAGATGTTGATCTTACGGTACCTTATGCCCTCAATGTTAGTTGATCGTCAAGGATTAAAACATTCCCCATTTAGTAGATTGTACAATCTCAAAACAAATATAAATTTATTAGTCATTCCTTATTTTCTCAGCAGATGTGCCGCTTTCTGTCTCTACTTCTCTGATTTGAATGTTTATCTTTTTAAGGCCAAGACTAATGCCTACTTCAAATGACTTTCCTCTCTACACTTCTCTAATTTGTTTCTTTGTCCTTCTAAGACCAACAATAACGCGTACTTCAAATGACTTTCCTGTCTAGATCACTGGACTTCTTTCCTATATGACTGTTTGGCTCAATTATCATCCATTGAACCAGAAACCTCACTTGTGGCTGACAGGATAACAAACATAAATTATAGAGGTCAACAAAAAATACAAGGATGCTTTACTTTCAATTTAGATACATTTTAACATATAGATGTAGTGTATCACAAACATGTGTTGTCCATTTTAGGAGCAAATATATATTTGTAGATCATTCACACAGTATCTAGGCGTCCATTGAATTTATATGAAATTGTAAGAAGCATGGGAATTAGTGGACCACTTGTGCACATTGTCAGGTGGCCTTACAACCTATCGTATAGAAGCTCTTTGTTGACTTTTTTTGGTGTCGGCTAAATGTAAAGTCAAATGTACTTATACAGTGAAGGGCTGAAATTGAGAACAGGAACAAGGAGCCTTGGGATGGACTAGCTCCAACATAATACTCGCTGACTTGAACAATTTTGATCACCTAACAGGCCTGACTTTAATTTCAAGAACTAAGTTATCTCGACAGATTTTTTTTATTTAAGGATTTTCAAAGGGGGAAAACAGGTGTCACTCTTTCTTTCCTTTTTTACATTCCAATGATATGCAATTGTTTTGCTTGCTTATAAGCTTTGTGTACATCATGGGTAAATGGTCTACCATTTGGGGCTTCTACTATAAGCAACAGGATTTTCATCAAGCACATAAGAACACACATCTCAAAATGTTTACCAAATTCAAGATTTACCATAAGCGCGTGTTTGGCCCTCTGATAAAGGAATGTCTAGCCATGACTTAAGTTCTAAAAGGGATGATTGGCAAAAGAAAAGAGGGAGGAGAGAGAGAGGGGGGGGTAAAGGCTTTTTGGTGGATCTTGGATTTCTACAAAATTATCAATGTGAATTATGATTACATAAGGAGAACGCAAACTGAGGCTTGTCTATTAAAGTGTGGAGTAAACTGATTCAATTTCCAAAATGACATCAGCCCATCCATTTTACTACATATATACCAATTTTTGAAGATCAGATATGCAAGGTAAAACAGGTAATATCAAAATCATAAGAAGCATTTCATTTCTCTGGAAAAACGTGTTTTCTGCAATATACAATATTGCATGACAAGTACAGGAAAGTCAAATGGATTCATCTAGTTGACCAAAAAGTAGAATATG